TGTGTGTGTGTGTGTGTGTGTGTATATATATATATATATATATTCACTGTTGCAGTGACTCTTTTTAAATGTTGTTTTATTAATATTATAAATGAGCCTGTAGTTTTAAATAAACATTATTTTCTCCTTCTTATATAACTGAGTAAATTTATATTTGATGCTATTGTAGTTTCAGTAGAACTTTTTGTTTAAACATTTCTTTAGAGTACCATGAATTAGAAATAACTGGAAAATGATCTCTTAATGGCTTTCAACGAGTTCTACTCTTAACTGACTTTGCTATATATCCGTCACTTTTAGTGGAGTCCACATTTTGCATCATATTAGTAATTTTGATTTTCCTATATACAGTATATAGGGGGAACCTCAACAGTAATTAGCGAGATTAATTGACATTCTGATGCTATTTTGTTCATATTTATGCATGACTTGTGTGTTATAGGGATCTTGCAACAAATTCGTGGGCTCACAAGCAATTTGGTGCATAAATATTTTTGACAAATGTCTTAAATTTTAGGATTAACGATTCATTAGGACACTTCTCTTCCAGTTGAAGTACGTGTACCGATTCAAGTAACCTTCAGGTGGATTCACTAAGTTGGTGTTATTGATTTGTGTTGTTTTTCTAACAGAAAGCCAACTAGTCAGGAAAGCACCACCATCTTACGCCGACGGAGTGTACATGTTAGCCGGGCAAGATAGACCCAGCCCTCGGGTGGTTAGTCAGGCCCTACTAAAAGGCGAAGACGGCATTCCATCGTACCGTAACCTCACCGCTTTGTTCGCCTTTTTCAGTAAGTGATTTAGAATCATCATAACGTGTCTTTAATATCAAAGTTTCATTAGTTGAGAGTGTATGCATTGCCTTAGTTTTATACTGACACATTATTATTACTTTGATAAATCTTACACTTCAAAACAAGTACGTCTATGCCACATTTAAAAGAGCGAATCGGATATTTGACGTTTCTCATGCACGCACTGATTGTCTAACGTTCAGCGAATCCGTATATTCAAATACGTCAGCATTATGTAATACTTTTCCTGTGTTTCACGTTTTGAAGAAAGTTATTAGTTTTTTGTTTTTATTTTATATACAATTCCAAGTTCAATCTGGTGTTTTTGTTATGGTAAAAACGGAGAAAAAACCTAATGTTTTTTTATTATTACTATTTAGTGAAACTCGTCTATGAATCCCACCAGTAGCGCCTTTATAGAGGATTTTGAAATACTTTGCTTAAGTGTACTATTTATTTTTCTGTTAATTTAAACTAATATTAACCGACACTGTTTACTTTGAACCCTAAACTATAATAAAAATAGCAACTTTCAGTTAGAATCATTTTTCCTCTTATTTATTTATTTAGGCCAAGTTGTTTCTTCAGAGATTTTGATGGCCAGCGAACCAGGCTGTCCCATCGAGTTGCATAAGATGGCGATAGCTAAATGTGATGAAATATTCGATAAGGATTGTAAAGGAGGAAAATCCATGCCTTTTCACAGGGCAGTGTATGATTCTAGAACCGGTCAGTCTCCGAACAACCCAAGAGAACAGGTAGGTCATCGTTCATAAGGGGTTTTGTCTCGTGCGAAAATGCCCCCAAAATAAAATTTACTCAAACCTAAACTACGGAATGTCATATACGGTTGAACCGAGATATATACTTTCTACAATCAATGAACAATTCTTATTTAAAAAAATACAACAATAATAATGATATTCTCAAGAAGTGTATACTTTCTACAATCAATGAACAATTCTTATTTAAAAAAAATACAACAACAATAATAATGATATTCTCAAGAAGAAAAAGGCCATCCTACGTACATTACTCTAAAATATGCAAAATCATTCTTCTGCAGCCCTGTCGGCAAGGTTATCATACAGAGGTAATATAAGAGCTAACTGACATGGAAAGTAAAAAATCTCGCTGTCAGTATAGATCGCATTAAAAGTTGCTAATTCACTAGAAATATGCATAAAATATTCAATGTCTCATCCGCTTAAGGAAAACTTGCAGTTCTGCCTACAAGCAAAAATAAGACCCGAGTCACAGAGTGCGTGCTAGTTTTTAATTGAAGTATAATTGTGTGAAAAGATGCCATAGAATATTTCTCTTCAGTGAGACAGCTTTAATTTTGTCGTTGAGCTATAGGAGTATGGTTCAAAGAAACGAAAGGCGTGCAGTAGATTGGAAATGCCATCAGTGCCATTGTAACGTGATATCCAGATGCTCCGAATTATTAAAAACGCCTAGCTACGAAATGATAAAAAATTAACTTTTTTTAAACTCAAAATAGGTAGTCCTCTGTTGGCTTGATATAGAGTAGACCTGGACATGTTTGAAGTTTGGATAACACCTATAAAAACGCAGTATTAGGACAAAGGTTCAAAATTACATTTCATTTGAATCTGTTTTTGTTTATTTGGGGGGGGGGGATCATAGTAACAACTGAAATGTTGCGTGTCAGAGTGGACAATATTTATTTTTTACTCTTTATTGTTCTTATTCCGTCACACAAGTTTTAATATAACACCTAAAACCGATACAGAAAGATTCGTAATAAACAACTTGTTAAGGGTGACCTAAATATATTAAGTACAGAGCTCCTGGATTCATTATTATATGATCCTGAGGGCTTTAATAGGAACCCCCCTACCTCTAAGGTCTAATCATCTTGTTAGAAAAACGAAGATAGTCTGTTAATGTCAGTGCATTTAAGTTTTCCTGATGTTTTACGGTTATTGAAGTAGGTTATCACGTGTTAGAAGATCCAATGTTATAAGAGCGCGGAAGATATAACAGTGTGGGATAATAATGAAAGGAATCGAACAAATAAAAGTTGATTATGTTCGTCAACTCTGGAACAGGCTTTGTTCCAATCAAAGTTTAAAAAAAAAAAAAAAAAAAAAAAAAAAGTTTAGTAATAACATTTTATTAAGTGATATACACACACTAGTCATTCTAGTGTCATGTCGGTTGTTCAACATGTTTTATAGCAATTGATTAGTATAAGGATAAAGAATTCGTGTTCGTACCACCATTAGCCAGTCTCTAAAGATAATTATATACTTGTATTGAAAAGATGAGGGGGGGGAGTGTTGTAAAAAATGTCATAATTTTATGTGATACTATGATTTAAGCTGGCACTGGTTTACGAGTTATGCAATCAAAAAAGGAATTGTTAAATCCTCTACTGCTAACCAGCTGGAATCTTTTCTTAGTTATAGTTTGCTTGATAGATAGCTTTTAAAAATTGGAGCAGACTATTAAAATAAATAAACAAGAAACTGATGCTACGATTATACCAATATCAGTTTATCTTTCAACTCAACCTGCTTATTAATGGATTGATGTATGGTAACGTATGTTTGAACTATTCCTTGTATACTTGACCATTACATTACATTAACATTCCGTTATAAAAAAAAATATATATATATATATATAACTTGTTAGCTGCTACACTTTAAATGTTCGCATACTTAATACTTTTAAAAACCACTGAATAACCTGGAAAGGTTAATCTTCAGGTTAGTAGGGACCACAGACTAGCGAGGTCTTACAAACAGTAAGACATTAGTAAGACTATATATATACTGGCAATTGGCGTTCAGTAAATCGACTTTTACGAACCAACAAAGCCAAGAAATATAATTGAATTCTAAATATTATAAAAACATTTATATAAAAGTAAGTTTGGTATTTAAAAACATCACGACTACTGGATATGAACTCCAGTAACAAACATAAATGATTGCACATTAAGCTGCGGAAAATAAAATTACCGAAAGTATTTGGTTACTGGCAGTTAAAGGACAACAACCGAGTAAATAAATATTGTTTTGTTAACCAGAATTGACTGTACTTTAAATATTTCGATAACTGTTTCGTGATTGTAATGTTTAGTTATGGATATTAATGCAGTTAATATTGCTAAACATGGAAGCTTCAGTTTCACGTGTTGTTATTTCCTTTGCATAAGATTGCTAAATGTACTTTATAATCTAAGGAAGAGGTTGTGTTTTATCCTGTGTTGTTAATGTAGATGTTTCTCGAAGTTTTGTTTATTGTTTAGTAGGAAGAAAGTCCGACGGGTTGAGATTGACGTAATTTTACTATATCTGTAACTTTCTCCAAAGTGTAGAAAATTGTTTAGCCACATAGAGAGTTAGGCCAGAGTGAGTTAAGTATGCCAGTTTTTTTTAAAGAGTAATCGATGCATGACTTAGTTTGCTCCTGTCAACTAGCTTGTCGCTTATTTTGTGGTGTGTGGAATAGTGAGCTGGTGTTTCGATGAAGTAATAGAGATGTGAAATTAGCAAGTAAGTGAAGTTAAGACCATCGGTGAACGTTGGTTAACAGTGAAACTTTAAGTAAAACGTTTATCATTACGCACAGTTTCACTTTTCTTTTATAGCAATTAATCCAAATGAAACCACCCAGACCCCTTGTGGATTAGGGGTACAATGTGACTTTGCACTGAAACAAACAAACAAATAATCCATCCAAAACTAAAAATCATTTCATCACAGTATTACATTTTAATAGTATGTGGATACACAATACTGTGTAATGTAAACAAGTCTCGACGCTTCCACATGTCCTTTTCAGTTTGTGTAACTAAGCAATCGTCAACCGTGTTTTATGTTCGGTACTTTTAAGAAATATGAAACGTGAGCAAATAAGTTATTTCGAATTACCTGCTGTCAATAGATGTAGGGTTATTTTACTTTAGTATCTGCGAGTATTTGGTAGTTACTAAATAAACGGTTTTGATAATACCCTGTAACATTCGCATTGCACGGATTACACTCAACTTTTTATATATTTTTTTATCCTTGTATAAGTAAATTTTATACAAAACTTATTATAAATAATGCTGCTATATTGGTAGAAGTTTATTACTCGCCTGTGCTATTCTAGTTTTATTTTCTGAAAAACTGATTTAAACTTTTAACACTTATACTGACGTGATGGTTTTATGAGAAAACAAAAAGTATGAAATAGAACGAATTAAAATGTTAAATTCCAACAAGTGATAAAGGGGATTTTGCAATAAAAAAACAACAAAAACAATACTATATATGAACGTTTAGATAATTGAAAAGCTTTTGTAAACATGATCATACATGTCAACAGAGATCATGTTAAGCTATCTTATAAGGCTTAGTGTTAACTTTTTAAACACACCTTGGCATTGTCATATTTAGGTTAAGACAACGGCGACTAAGGAGACTTTTGTGAAATATCAAACACGCCTGCGATAGTTTTATTGTCTTAATTTTAACATTTCTACAGTAATTCCTGTACACTGAATTCGAAAATATCCATTTTTCTCCATCACTTAGAGAGTTTTCACAAACAGTCATAACTTAATACATAGAAGACCACAACACGTACTTTTGAGACTAAAAGGCTTAGATTTCACAAAAAAGGTGGATGAATGAGGATGGATATCCTTTTGACATCAATGTTCTTCCCTTTTGGTAATAAACATAAAAAAAAAACTTGCATTATGGTGAACGAAATAATTTGATCTAAGTTTTTGTTTTTTCTCCCCAAATTGTAAAAAAAAAAACTTCTTACGTGATAGAGAAAAATGAATATTATTTTCGAAATCTGCGTAGATTAATTATGGAAAATCCGTTATTAAAACCAAAAGAACTTTTATAAAATATAAATTCGCAAGCCTGTGTTATTAGTAATCGGCACCCGTATAGGAGGTCTGTGGAGATTGAAGTAAGACCTACAAAAAAACTTCTCCTCCTCAAGCGCTAACTAGGGATTCCTCAAGCGCTATCTAGGGGTATTCATTGAGAATAATACACATTGAATAACAATCGATTTGCTTGAACAAACAAGCTGCGATTATTGTTATTCTGTGTCTCCCCCCCCCCCCATGAAAATTCAAATTACTGTAAAGGCTCTAAAACTTCAATAATTTGGTTAACATTTAACTTTTGTCAAATACGCCTTTTTAATAACCTTTAATAGCTCATCAGACTGAAAATCGGATTCGTGTATTGTTTTAATTTTATTTTTATCCCTGTTATTATAATAATGACGGAAAACATCGTGCTACATATGTGTGAAAATAAGGAGTTGATTTATTTCTTTTTTCCAGCTTTTTCAAGACAAACGAGCATACTTGCAGTATCTTGTGGTATAAACTTTTAGAAGCAATTTTACACTTAGTTTTACATTAATGCCACTGTTAATTAGTATAAATATTTCCTTTCAATCTTTAAACTCGTTTCAGATTTTACGGTACAAGTTCAGCAGTTGATTCCAACCTATCTCCTTCATGACTTACTATGTTTTATCATTTTCTGTAATTGATCAGACTTCATGGTCTTAATTGCTGGTCCCCCTGTGTAACAGTGGTAAGTCTTCGGAGTTATAACGCTAAAAATAGGGAGTTTGATTCCCCTCTGTGGACACCACGGCAGATAGCCCATTGTGGCACGCACGCACTCACACACTCACTCTCTCTCACTCACTCACTCACTCACACACGCACTCTCTCTCACACACGCACTCTCACACACGC